AACGGCAATAGGACTGTTTAACACCTGAATCCAGTCACACACACACTTACACACATCACATTGTCACAACTGGACTGGACAATTTTATTTCAATTTAATTTCTATTTGTGCTCTTATTTTAGCATATTTTATTTTATGCCTATTTTAATACCACTGTGTTGTTGCTGATGAGGGTAAATGTGATTGTTTTTTGTCTTTTATGAACTGCTGGAGGCTGAATTTCCTCTCAGGGATGATAAAGTTATCTCTATTCTCTCCTCCCCACACACACACACACACATGCACACCTCACCTCCTTACGTTTTCCTTATAGGTCAGATACACAGGACATAGTTTTATACAGTCCATGGCAGCAACAGTCATGTTTACAACAACAAAGTCACTATATAAGCACAATAATATCTCACTGGACACAAATCTAACATGTCAATACAATAAATATTCCTCCTGATATAGTGAAGAAAGCACGTTATCTAAGCATGAAGCACACAAGCATCAGTATCAGTCATTCATCCTGCTCTCTGTCCCCCCTCTACTGAGGACACTCACTGTCTGCAGGTCAGCTGTACATCTTCAGATAAAGTGTTAGACTATATACAGACAGTTTTCATTTTAATTAGCTCCGCTAGCATGATGTGCTTATGTGAACTGCGATTGTAAATCATAATAGTGGTAAATGAGAGGCTGTGGACAGAGCAGATTGAAATATGGCTTTCTACATGCTGATCACATGTATTGATAAAATATTGGCTTTTTACTGGCAGAGGATTTTTTGCACTTACTCACAGTAACAAGCGTAGTTGTCGTCCACTGGGGTAATCTTGAATTTATATTCCCTTCATCTGCACTATGGCCACTCTGCTGTCTGACTGTTGTGTTCGTGTGTGTGTGTGTGTGTGTGTGTGTGTGTGCGTGCGTGTGCATGTGTCTGTGTGTGTGTGTGTGTGCGTGTGTGTGTGTGTGTGTGCTGTGAGGAGGAGGTCTGCCCTGACATGCAGAGAGCAGGAGGGAGGCAGCAGCCAGATAATACATGAAACCAAAACTTTAAAAAGTAACGATAAAAGAGCTGATAATGTCGGAGCTTATTATTGCCCCGGGCCATTTAATACCTGGTCTCTGTACCACTCCCTGCCTGGGCCACTCAGAAGTTGCCTCTTGGCCACCAACTGAATAGGCCTGCTGTATGTGAAGGCCTTGACTGAAGTGGATGGTGGCATCTAACAGGCTGTGAAATCCTGGCCAACTTGCACAACTGACAGGTTACTGTACTCAATGGCGTCCATTGGCAAGCTGGGTATCACAAAGCTGGCAATAGTGTTGGAGGTAATGTGTTACAGGACGTGTTACAGTAATAAATTACTTGTTAGAGGTAATGTAGTAATATAACCTGATACCAACAGGATTCCTGGTAATATTATTACATATACAATGACACTTAAAACATTATCACCTGAAATTAAGTATTTATGGTTCTTGCTTTTCATTCATCCACACTCTGCCTGGTGCACCAAATGTGCTAGGGCCGCCACCGAACACTTATGTACAACAAGACAGCAAAAAAACTAACAGATGAGAAACAGTTATGCACAAGACATTAACAAACAAGGCGGTTTTAGACAAACAAGACAGAAGCATTCGCAGATATTGCACAATCAGCAATGAATCCATGCAGTGCAAAGTAAAGACAGGTATTAGAGAAAAGACTACATAATCCAGACACACACAAATAGTTAGACAGATGACGACAGACAGTGAAGACATGTGCAAGCTTTGCATGATTACACACCTGGTTGCTTATTAGCCAGATTGTGTTCAGAGGAATGTGGTACTACATCTTATGTGCACTGGAAGTATGAGCCATGAAACTCTTACTGTAAAAGCTAATGAGCTTTTTCTCCTTGAGACCACAGTGTCTCCTCTGGTTGTAGATGAGGTGAACCTGTAATTTTAAGTTCTCTGTATTATGAAGGTGCTTAGTGGAGGAGGTACAAGACCATAAAGGCTTTTATATATAGGCAAGTGTCATGAAATTTAGTTTTCCCAGCTGTGTTGTGCTGTGCTGTGTGTTAGCATATTTAATGCATTTATATTCATATACATGTACCTACAATGTCTATAATGTATCCTGTTCCGCTTTTGCAACTACAGCTTTGATAGTCCTAGTAAGTTTTAAAGTCATTCAGTCCTTCATTACACTGCCTTTGAATGAGCACAGATTCAATAATACACATTTATGAAACAACCTTTAACATAACCTTCTTTCACATGAAAAACATCTTTAGGAAAATAAGCAAAAAGCCTTTTTATTATGTATGGTCCATAATAATTCCCTCTCTAATGTCTATTTTATGCTGCTGAAAACATCAGTAAATTTCTCCTTTAAACAGCTGGATTTGTTCAAGTTTTTGACTAATAAAACACATGTCAGATTTGAATGAATTATCGGAAGCACAGCGTGGGAGACTTAAACCTTATTTCAAGTTAAGGCTGGTTTTTAAAAACAAATAGAAGTGGGAAAGTAATTTGGCATCTATTTACGCTGACATCGGGCAGTTGGTGAACTGGACTCAGCCAGAGAGTTGGAGGGAAATTATGTAATTTTACGCCAGACTAGCTTACTTGTAGTTTGGCTTACTGGTGGGTTATTGCCAAAATTAGTGAGGCTGTATTGAGATGTTTTTATAGTTATGTAATGTAACAACAGTGACAAACAGTGTCAAGGCTAGGGCAAACACTGTCGCTACCTGGCTGTCCATAAAGGCAGGTCGGGAGACGTAATGCTGCTCTGCAAGGGTGCTCAAATTGCGTGTACTTACTTACTTAACTTGGCCATGATAACGAGGGAAGTCGAAGAGGGAGGGGCAGAGGCTCTTGTAGTCTTGAAGAATTAAAACTCAAATGCAGTTGTCAGGTATAGCACATGCATTTAACTGAGAGTCTGGGGTCTATCTGTGCACATACTTGAGACTCAATTCCTCCAAATTTTGGGAGTCTGGCTCATGGAGTAAAGTTTTTTTTCCTTTTAATTTCTGGATGAGTATTTTCTTAAGAACAAATACCTGCAGGTGACTAGAACTTGGACTTAGTGAAAAACACAATGGGACCACAGCATGAAGCCTAATCTAGTCCACATTCAAAGTAGATGACAATATTGTAAAAAATAAACATTTCACACTTTAATGGTTTTCTTGGCGACTTTCAAAAAAAGGAGAGAGGTGAAAAAAGACGGTGAAACACTGTACTGAATGTGTTGACAGTGGGAAAACAAATCAACAAGACAGAAATCTCTATTTATAAAAACCCTTATAGTGAACCTCAATAAATATAAAGAAAAATACTTGATTTTTTCCTTATAAAAAATAGAGGAACCATCTGGTTATCATTTATGAACATTTATAACAGTCTATGTTCACAATGAAGGACCAAAGAGCACCACTCATGGTCAGGAGTGTCATTGGCTAAGAGGCTCCAGTCATTGGACAAACCGCTTGCTACTGGCTGGCTCTACAGACTGAGAAGATAGATAGGTTCTCCCTTTCAACACAGGCTCTCGTTGACTATTGTAGGTTGTAGAGAGGACATGAAACTTCTATTAGCTCCATTGAGGTGTCAATGAAAAAGTCAAAGGTCAGCCAACATTTTGATACCCAGCTATCAGCTGTATTTACATGCAATCTGGAAACATTATCGACAATACCTGCAAAAATTATTAATTATTTATATTAATTATATTGATTATTATTATTAATTAAAACATTTGAAATGTTGTCCATGGATATTGATGGATATAATAATGTGTTTGGACTGTGTCTGGACTGTTTTTGTCAGAATATCATCAATCTGTGGATTATGATGAGGTTTCAGAGGTGAGTTATAAGTGTTTGTTTGTTGGTGGTCTGACCACAGCATTTATTGTACCTGCTATGGGGGGTTGTATCTCAAAACAGTCCACATCAATCCATTGCAAAGATAATGGCCTTCTAACAATACGTCACTGTGGACTATGGTTAAGCCATGTTTTATGTGTGTCAACTAAATCACTTTTAAGTAGACTTTATTGGTAAGCTATCTCCCAGTGTTGCCTATATGCTAACTGATGGGTTTCCCTAATGTAGCAGCAATTTACTAAACTGGAAATCCAGATGCCCCGCCCCTAGCAAATTCAAATTTGCTCTGCACGGGGATCTGGCCTTGACGAGCAGAGTCCATTGAATCGCCATCGGACCAATCAGATCAGTCTATCTGACAGAGGTGGGCTCTGGGCAGGCGTAACATGATGACGACAGCACTGCTCCGTACGAGTCTAAAAATAAACAGCCAAGATGGCAGCTGCTGAAGGACTGCGTCCATTCAATTAAGCTTTGGAAGAAACGCTAAGCCAACTACACCTATCTTTTTCCTTGACAGAGGAACAGAAGACTGCCCTAGAAGGCTTCGCTTCCACGAAGGACGTGTTTGCTGTTTTGGGATACGGCAGAAGCATAATATATCAGTTAGCCCCACTGGTCGGCAAACCAATGGGGCTTAGTGCAATGAATATGTCACCTTGTTTTTTGCTCCGATTGGCTATCGTGCTATCCAATTGCGTGCCGCGGCATTTCATATGCCTCAGTTAGTGCCACCCCTTGGGTAGGAAGGGTGTATTGGTGAGGGCTAGACTCAAAACCTTTCTAGATTTCAGTCTGGGTAAAAAGGTAAATAATAAATTTCACCCCACGTGCCTTATTGTTTATGTATGAAGTAATAATGAAAGAACAGCACATACCTTTTTGTTTATGTGTGAATTACTGAGTAATAATGTAAAAAGAGTGGAAACTCCATTGTATAGATCACACCCCCAATCTAACTAAGTACAGAAAGGGTATGAAGAAGAAACAGTAGATAACCTCTTAGGCCTACGTCCCATCATGGAGGGGCCGGGGTTTATGACCTATACTGCAGCCAGTCACTATCTTTAAACACAGTCTGAGGAAGAAACAGACATAACATGTAAACTCAGCATGTGCTTTAATAACTGTCCCTCTAAGGACATATGTAAGACAAGACAAGGTCAATCATATTCTTAATAATGGGAGGTTGTGGGTGGAGGCTGTGTGGCAGGTGGTGGGCCACGACCATCTCCCAGGCATCAATCAGATGAACATTCAGTCCTTTGAACATGAGTCTGAGCACCTTATCATGCTGCAGAGTGTACCAGTCACTGTTGGTTAATGTTTCATAAAGTCCCTTTAAAACTTTGGGGTTTCCTGTCCGGATAACTACCAGCGTGCCTGGAGCCCTGTCCAGCAGCCTCACAACCGCCCTGCGGATTCTCCGGATCCGCTGGATGTACACCTCCACAGGGAAAGTGCTGAAGTGAGACCAGATGCCAAAAACTACAATAGTATTGATGCCTCCATTTACACCATCTAGTTCATTAGCAATGTAACGAAGCTCGCTGGTGTGGACCATGTAAAAACGGATAGGAGGTCCGTGGCAGCGGAATGTCACCAAGATGTTGTTTGCATAGTGTAAGGCCATGAAAGGTCCAACTTGCCTCGGGCTGTGCAGGTCAAACTCCTTAAGATCTAAAAGTATGAGAGGGAACAGATTAGTGTGAACAGTATGAACAAAATCAAACTGTTGCCAGAAATCCTGTGGATCAGCTACCTGGTAGAGCTCTGAGGTATTCAAACCACTGCCTGATGGTGGAGTCTCCATACATGTGGACCACCTTGCCTTTCAGACACTGACTGATGGCAGAGGTGTTGAATTGATGAACTGTGGGGCCTCCCAGTGCTCGCCACATACCATGGTAGTAATAGCCAGAGGGTCCAGATGTCACATTGCTTCTCATAACCTCTGGCTGACCTGAGAGGAAGTTAAAGGATAAGGGTGGGGTTATTTCATGCCTTTGTTATTGCCAACAAATCCCTTGAAAATACCAGATCCAAGGTAGAAAGTGTGACCTTTATGTACTATCTTTATGTCTGAGAGACTAGATACGCTGCTAACAGCTGGTACCCTGTTATGAACTTTTAACCCAGTGCTTCACGCTCCTGGAAAGAACACGACCCAGAAGTAAGTAGAATATTTTTTTCCTGCCTGTTTTACTTTCATTGTCCGTCACATTCAGTTTTGAATTGTCATTATAGGTAGCGGTGGCATTAAATCATGCTTTACCTTCCTCTTTTGGCAATATGCTGACACTGTCAGGTCCGGAAGCCTGAATGAGGACTTTCATGTTGACACCACTGAAAAGGAGCACACATAATAAAAAACCCTCACTCACACATTAACAAAAGAAAGCAGGACAAACACTTTGAATCATTTTATGAAGTTTAATTTAGATAACTCAAGCACTTGTCACTTGACATGTTTATGTATTCTATGTTTTGTCTCTTTAATGCAGCAGAGGGCTGTACCACGAAACCAGTTCAACAGAGCCTGAGCTGGCTCAACAAACCCTAAAGCAGTGATGAGATACTTAATTCCTTTTACTAACTCGAGTTTGTATGAGTCCCTCACCAAAGTGAATCAGGTTTTCGTTTGAGTCAGTCACCCAGAGTGAGCACACTAGTCAGGTAAGGGAGGGGCTCTCTGAGCAGGGAGAGAGAGCAAGTGACCTTTGTGCTGCCGGTGAGCTGGGGATACTGAGTGAGTGAGTGAATTGTTTGTTTTTTCTGTAGCCTCAGCCTGTGATACAGCTCATCTCAGGGCAGGGAGGAGACAGAAGAGTTGAGTTGAAATAAGGACCAGAGCTGTTGCTTCTCCCACTGGGCTAATACAAATTAACGCATTAGCTTGATATATTTACACAAATGCAGTTAGAATAACAGTTGAGTGGCATGTTGCCTAGTCTCCTCTTTGCAGTTAGCTTATGGTAGTAATGGAGACGATGACTTGGAACTCCTGGGTCAGTAAAAAGAATCTTGAGTTTCGAATGATTCGTTCATGACTCGCACATCACTACCCTAAAGCCTCAGTCAGAGAAAACCAGTACCACCAAGGTTGTTATCAACTTGCTCTGTTAACACAGGCATTCCTCTTCAGGCTCTTTATGCGTTCCTATGAAATGAGTCAAATCCATTGTTCAGTGCGTCGTTTGACTTTTAAAAATGTTCGATCCCTGCCACCTATTTCCGCCTTTAAACAATATTAAAGAAAGCATTACATTAAAAAAAACAGCACTGCTGCTCCAATAAAGGTGTGAGAGGAATGCTTGCAGAAAATGACTAATTGTGTGAATCCACAAGTTAACACATTTATTTTACCACTCGGTTTATTCTACAGCTCTTTACCTTTAAACTGGACACGGCAGATTTTAACTTTATACTGAAGCACTGTGTTTACGTACACTGACACTGTCTAAAAATGAAGGATATGTAATATTAACTTTAGTTTCTGTACAAATCAAAGTAAAATGAATTCTAGTGATGAAATATTATCTGCGATAAATACCAGCAGCCTGATCTATTAGTTGTAATGCAAGTAAACATCATCCTGATTGATAATTTGGTTGAGACTCTCTTTTCCCTGCTTGTTTTTATTGGTGTGTTCGGTCTGCCCGCACGGACGTCGTCCTGGAGATCCCTCAGGCCCGGAGGGCCGTGGCGTGCCTGCAAGCGTGTGTGTGTTATATGTGGGGGGGTGGAAGGGACGGGTTTTTCATTGTTTTTATTTTGTGAAGCACTTTGTGTTGCATTTTTAATGTATGAAAAGTGCTATATAAATAAAGTTTGATTTGATTTGATTTGGTGCATTGTTTGCTTTCACCCATCCAACATCTCACACTACACGCAGCACTACTGCAGACACACACCTTGTCTACTGACTCAACTGATAAACACATCTCATCATTGCCTTTGTTTTGGGTTTCTGGGGTTTACCATTATTTAATTTAATTTAATTAATTGTATATACTTTATTAATCCCCCTGAGGGGAAATTCTCTTTATGTAAATAAATGTATCATTTTGCTTTCAGCCTGTGTCTCATTTTTTGTCATGACTTCAGAGCCAGGCCGTGACAACCTAAATGGAAAACAACTGCTTGAAAGCTCATGCCATATTTCACAAAAGTCAGCCTCTAAAATCCATTTTGAGTGAAAGGCGGTGTATCTAACTTTCAGAAAACTACTTCAGAGACTACCTTGCCAGGAGAAGAGCAGACAGTAGCTCCGGAGAAGGATCTTCAGTCAGCAGCTGAAGCAAGTCAAATTCAGCCGGTACAAACCCCACCGCCAGGGGTCACGGTGGATTGGCAGGCTGACCTGTGGTTTTTCCAACCCACCTTACATGAAACCACACCCACTTCCACATGACAAAAATGGGTTGCCAGAGCCAATGATTGGTGGACAGCCTACTGCTATCCAGCACCACTGAAAGAGACTGCGGCCAGCTAGCTAGCCCACCCCACGTTCCCTCCACCTCATTCCCCGCCACTCAGACTACAAAGCTGGAGAGTTAACTGATCTGGTAGGGTGTGGTCTGGGATCAGATCTCCGCCCTTGGGTTTGACAGCTCTCATTAACATATTTTATTAAGTAGCAATAAGCTGTTTTTATTAAAGAAATCTCTAATTACCCAAGTCTGTAGGATCTACCACTATACAGCAGACAAAGTTAGCAGGTAGCAGATGGACATGGCGGGGCATTTAGCAGCGAAGCCAGATATTTGCCTGTTGATTTGGCGGAGACCAAAGTAGAGCTAAAATCAGGATGTGTACTGGATTTACAATTGACCATTAACACAGCTCCAAATAAATGCTAACATTGCTCCACATCCGCTGGATGTAAATAGGCCACTGGACTATCCAGTTTCTTAGGGAAAGTCAGGTAGTGAGAATAAGATTGATCATGTTGATTTGTATCATCTTAAACAGTAAAAATTTTTAGATTCAGTCTTTACTGTCTGTAGTTTGAAACTTCTCACCAAGGGGACACATAGATAACACTGGATGTGTGTATTCATTAGAAGTCATGAAAAATGCCAGTCCTGTCTCTCTTCTCCCTCACCTTTGAAAGAGCTTCCTCTCGTCTTCCTTGAGGTTTGGTCTGTATATTTCCCTGGAGTGGCTGATTCTGGCATCACAGCTCAGCTTCTTTGGCTTGTAGCAGAACCAAGGCTCACCTGTACGGAGGTCAGTGTAGTTGCAAAGAGGTTTCTGGGTTGGACGTAGGCAGACGTTACAGAGGGTAGTTTCAGAGCGTGAGCCTGAGCGGAAGAGGCTGCTGAAGGTAACCCTGTCAGGATGTTCTCTGGTCACCCTGCTCAGCACTGTGATAGCCTCACTAGAGTGAACCAGCGTCACCTGGTAGGATAGAGAACCAGAGTTTTTGACTAAAAATCTAGAGTCAGTTGCTGGAAATGAGACCTTGGCTTTGTATGAAATGGAAAAGTACCATTATTTCTAAGATGACTAAAAATTTTGAGTGATAAATCTGCCATTGTTATTACTAACTGCACGTGTGTTGTGCCCACGGTTTACAGGTGTAGCAACAGTAACAAAGGAAGACAGGCTTAGCTTTAACAGTCACATTTAACAACATTAACACATTTAATAGTTTTTGGCATCACCTCAACCTGCGCGTCTCCTTCCCAGAGTAAAGAGAACACAGCAGAGTAGCTCCCATTGAGATGATCCACCACTTGCCCAGCTACACCTGCACCAAGCTTCAGGTTGTGGAGCCAGGCGAGTAAGAAGTCCCCCCCATACTTCTTGGAACGGTCCTGAAAGTCAGACATTGTTATCATGACCTCCAGCTGATCCCCTACATGCCACTGTCCTCCTCCCCTCCTTGGGAGAATGTGGAAGGTGCTGTGAGCTGGATCACTGGTATTCTCCAGGGAAACAGGAGATGGCAAAAGTGGAGTTTCAGGCCAAGCAATGGAGTCTAGTAGGAGGCGTTCTTCCATTGTTTCCTCATGGGAGTGTGGCTGGAAGGTGCAGAAGCTGTGACGCTTGTCGGGGTCAGTGGAAACTGTTGATTCATTGATGGTGGATTGTTTAGGATGGTGGACTTTATGCTGAAAGTGGCAGGGGATCAAAAGACAGATGGTGACTATTAGGTGCATCAAACAAATGTGCTGAAAGGAAATTAACAAAGTAAGGGCCAAGAGATAAGACTGTATGAGTATTTTGGGGGGATTGATAGCTGCTGTTAACATCTGCTCATGGGAGAAGTTAAAGATACTTAATCTGTTTTGCACAAGTCAAGAACCTGATTTTTTAAATTCAAATTCAAAGGTTTCTTTATGGATGCTGCAAGGCCCTGTTTACTAAAATGTATATGTCACTGGACCAGAAGCACTAGAGAGGCTGTTTGACACCTGGTGGTTTGACATGACAGAGGAAGCTTTTCACAGCTGTGAGACACATTGAACTGTACTGCATACAGATTGAATATAACCGCGCTAAAGATACAGAACATCAGGGACATAGGGGTAGATTTTGGGGCTGGGAATATAGTTGCAGGATTCAGAGGGAAAATACCTTTTAACTCAAATGATATTTATGTGCAGTAAGGAACATTACTGTAATCAGCATCTACCCTTCAAGCAGTCCAACAATCATATTCTTACCTGCATGTTTAGTAGCACAAAGACTAAGACAAAGACAACCAGTAAGACGAAGATGATGATGCTTGTCCTATTAGAAGTGCTGGCCTTCATGGTTGGTGATCAGTCTTTATCTCTGGCTGCAGCATAGCACTGTAACCACTTTCTCTGGTACTGGATTAAAAACAAAAAAGAAAGGGTTAACTGACACCTACAGTAAATAATGTCTCTTGTGTGGCATGAGGAGGACAGTAAAGGTTGTTGCAGCAATGCTCCCTTGGGAATTACACCCAAGGTAATTATTGAGAATGCTTTAAGGTAATGAGGACAAACAGGTTTGAATGAATCCACTGGGTCAGAGACATGTTGCCATAAAAAGATGGAATTTATTTAATAAAAATGAACCAATATGCAACTTCAAGCTATAGTGTCATGAACACCAGGATTAAATAAAGAGCTAATCAGTGATAAACTAATAATAACTAGCACTCAGGCAGGAGAGTGAGGACAGGGCTGGGGCTAATCACGACAGCAGGGAATCAAAAAGGGGGGAGGGGTTCACAAACTAACCACCTGTGACACTGCACACCAATGAAAAAGGAATTGTAAGAAACACCACCAGGGGACTGGACTCCTGCCCTGCACCCACAGCACCTGTCAAAAAGGGAAAGAGGGTGATTACAGTTTTTCTCAGTTGCTTTAGTGCATTTCTCTGATCAGAATTTAAATTTTCATAACTGTTAGTTCAACCTCCACAACATTTAGTCATTTGTGCACATCATAGCAGCAGTGTCTCATTCCTTCCAACAAATTGCAAATGCTTTTGGACATGCATCAATTGCTTTCATACAATTCTCTGCTGTTTTATAACATTATCATTTGCTTATGTCATGTCAGTCAAAATGAACTATACTTATGAATGCTGAATAGTCATTCCCTATAAAACTAATAGTCCTCATTTCATTGCTTGAGTCATTACATGCAAAAATGTTGAACTAATTTTCAAAATCTGTCATGCAAATTTTATACATTTCTTTATATTTTTTTCCTGAGAATGTCTCCTAAATTGAACAATTTCTCTCAGACGAACCCCAGCTTTCACTGATGAGGAGGAGTGTGTGAAGTATTAGTTGTAACCAGTGATAAGCCACTTCTCCACAGTCACTCAAAGCTGAATCCCATGAACCTTCACTTGGCAAACATATATGAACCGAGCAGGACATAGTGTGTACCATTTCTACAATACTGTGACACAGAAATGGAAAGTCAATGTCGTGGAACAGGGGTGAGGATGCGGGGAGGAAGCGGAAGTGTATGTGGCCAGACAAACAGGAATGTCTGGATGTGCATGAATGATACTGTGTATGTTGTATGTTCCAATGTGTACTGCAATATTGTTTACAGTTGTGCATTTGTGCAGTTGTGCACAGCTCTACCAAAGAGTGTTTCTTATGTTTGTTGTCAATAAGTAAGTGTGTATTTTTTATGGCGTTATATTTGTGTCATATGTCGCGCGAGTGGATAACACATCTGCACGCGCGCAGATCTCTCTCTCGTGTAAATTATTTCGTGTCACGCGCGCAGATTTGAACTCCCGCGCGCACTTGTTTGATCTTCGCGCACATATTCAGCAACAGAGTGAAGCAGAGGCAGGTGCGTGCGAGTAAAAAACAGCAGTGACACACACAAGAACACTGTGCAGCTGCTTTGCGCGCGCTGGCTCGCTCCTGCTCTCGCTCTCTCTCTCCCCTGTGCTTGCTCGCGGTGGAGTTCTGCCCGCTCGAAGCATATGGCAAGCCGTTTTAACATTTAATCACTAAGTCCGACTATCCGGAATTACCATTATAGATATATATAACGTCATTTTGACTAGTATGAATTTTAATTTAAGATATCTGTAACGTCATTCTGACTAGTCAAAACTGAATGACAGATATCTATAATGTCATTCTGACTAGTCAAAACTAAATGACAGATATCTGTGACGTCATTCTGACTAGTCAAAACTGAATTACAGATATCTATAATGTCATTCTGACTAGTCAAAACTGAATTACAGATATCTATAATGTCATTCTGAGCCGCAGATAAAAGAGGGCCTACTCTGTCATGGAATGGAGCCCCATTTACAATATTCATTCCTGAGCCCATTTTAGCCAGACTGATTCCTGCTTTGTATGAAAAAAAAACTTTTCTGCGTAGACTGCGGTTGCTTTTCTGCGTAGACTACGGTTGTTTGGTGTCTGCAAAAACATAGTGCTAATCTTCTATAGAGCAACAATAGAGTCCATTGTACGGTACGGTATCACCAGCTGGTTTGGGAACCTAAATGTCAAATCAAAAACTCAGATTCTCAACCTGGTCAGAGTAGCGGGTAAGATTATGGGTCACCCCCCCCTTAACCCTCAGGAACTGTTCAATCAGGCCATCATCACTCAGGCAAAAAATATTTTAAATGACAGTTCTCATGTTCTGTTTAAAGAATACTCACTAATGCACTCAGGGAGAAGGTACAGGGTTCCCTTATGTAAACACAACCGGTACAAACATTCCTTTGTCCCGTTGTCAGTCAAGCTCATTAATGAGCAAATGTAAGCAGGTATTGTGTACTGTGTACTGCATACGGTGTATTAGCACCTTAATGTGTACTTTTTCTTTTTTCTTTTTCTTTTTTTTTTTTTCTGTGTATGGTGTATTTAGCACCTTTATGTGTACCAATTTCTGTGTATGGTGTATTAGCACCCTTATGTGTACTAGCACCTTGTTGTGAACCAGCACTTTAATATGTACCAGGACCTTAATATGTACCAGCATTTTAATATGTACCAGCACTCTAATGTGTACCAGCACCTTAACTCAATGTGAAGGCATGGCAAATTGCACAGCTCAGATGAGCAAATATCTGCACATTGGTCCCTATCTGGTTACCAGTTGTATGTTTTGTGTTGTTTAAAGCAGCAGTACCCTGTCTCCAATCCAAATTTCTCCCAAGGGAGACAAATAAATGGACTTTGACTTTGACTTTGATAGTCTGGCAACCTGTCCAGGATGTACCCCGCCTCTCACCCAGTGTCAGCTGGGATAGGCTCCAGCCTCCCCTTGACCAGGATAAGCGGTTAGGGAAAATGAATGAATGAATGAAACAGAACTGATTGTTTTGTTTTTAATGTCTGTCACTACAACGCTACATTTTGTATTTCATAAGGAGCTGTTTTTGTTTCATATGCTGCTAAGAGGACACCCAGAAGATGGGTCACTCAGGTATATAGCCCCATTATTGTTCAAAGTCAAAAACAGATTATGCTTTATAACATTTGTTTTTACAAATAAATAAATTAAAATGACATCTTTAAATGTGAAAATCAAGAAAATTCTTAGCATAGCATTTCTACTTTTTTGCTGTATCAAAACCCTTAACATGACATGACTGTGTTGAAGTGTGAATTTTATGAACTGTATACCCCTACTAAAAATGAATCCTGAAATGTACTTCTCAGTTCTGTTGTGTCATTATTTGGTTAAGCAGCGTTCAGACAGATTTTGGAATAAAAAAGAGAAGAGCATGCAAGTCAGTTGTTTATCACACACATAATGTCATCTTTTTCAAAGCTCTCAAGAACATGTCTCAGTGTTAAGGTGTTGTGTGAATAGCCTCACTAAATATATAATGTTCAGTGGCCTACCTGCTCGGGTGTGGAGTCCAATTTCAGCTGTACGGTGTCTTAGAGGCGCAGCAGTGAAGACTTTGCTCTCACTGGTAAATGGGTGGTACATAAAAAGACGCAGCAGGTAGATAATGATGGTAAAACTGGTTGTGTGAGGATGAATCTGTTGCTGCAACGCCTTATGTAAAACACAGAGAATAAAAATCTCCTGCAATGGTCTTTGTTATAACACAAAAAAACATATTGAACATATGAGCAGAGAGGTGATGGACAATTGTATGGCAAAAAAGTGAAGAAGCAGCAGGTATGACAGGCAGGGCTGAGGGTGAGAAGTGAAGCAGACTCATTTTTAGAAAATAAAACATGCTGCAACAGGGGCAGATTTAAAGCTACAGCCAGACTAACTTAGGCAATAACCCAACATTATGTAAGCTAGTCTGTTATTCCTTACTGTTTATGCCACTTGCTATGCTTCTGTGCATTGATAGCTCATTTTTATTCTGTTTCTGCATTATGTGATGTTCCTCGGTCAGATATGTGACAAAGAATATTTTTAAAATTTCAAAATAATTTCAAAACATTGCTACTTTCTCTACGTTAATTTGCATTTGTTTAAAATTGTCACCATATAACTACAAAAAAATCTATAGGCTGCTCGCTGCCGGAGTGAAAGTTTTGTTTTGTAAAGGAATAGCCCTGGTCTAGAGTACAGCTGAACAGAATAACGTGGTTACATACTGACTTTAGTTCAATATTACTGGTCAAGTGTACAGGCTTTTTTCACACCTGCACCTGCAGAGCAGCGTCATGTTTCCCTTACCTGCCTTCATAGGCAGCCAGGTAATGATAGTGTTTGCCTTGAGCCTCAGCACTGTTTGTCACTGTTGTGAAATTAAACCACTTTTAAAACATCTCAATACAGCCAGACTAACTTAGGCAATAACCCAACATTACATTTCACAACAAGTAAGCTAGTCTGGTGTAAAATTACACCATCTCCCTCCAACTCTCTGGCTGATTCAGGTTCACCAGCTGCCTGGTGCGAGTGGAGACAGACGCTGAACTACCTTCCCGCTTCCACATGTCTTTTTAAATCAAAAACTCAATATGAAATAATGTTTATTTCCCCCATCACAGGTCTGTTCTCTGGGACTCTTTAAGAACATTAACATTTTATTCAGAAGATCATTTTAAGAATTGCGTGACTAAAAAAAAAAAAAAAGAGGAGAAGAGAAAGAGGAGAGAAGGAGAACAAAGGGTTTTTTTGGGGGAGTTTTTCCTCATTCGCCGTGAGGACCCAAAGGACAGAGGGATGTCGTATGCTGTAAAGCCCTGTGAGGCAAATTGTGATTTGTGATATTGGGCTTTATAAATAAAATTGATTGATTGATTGATTGAAATTGAAATTGAGGAGAGGAAAGGAAGGAAATGAGTGGACGCAGAGCAAAAGAAAAGACCTCCCCAAAACCCCGAAACCACCCTCTCAAAAGGTCAAACAGCTGACAACCG